ACCCGATTCGCAACAGAAAAATGCCCACCCACATATCTGCCATCTTTCTATTTGATTTTTTTTTTCATTTAAAAGTTTCACTCTCTATAGATATATTTTTCATGTCTGTAATAAGGCAAGAATACACGGAGTTTCGAAGTGATGCGCTCAAGTTCACAGAGTCCGAGACGGCAGAAAGCGCATCCTGTTTGCTTTCATTATTTAACAAAAGCGCAACGTTTCGTTGGTATTCTGAGTGCACACGAATAAACGTAGAGTCTTTACAAAAGATTGCATTACTCTTATCTGTATGACCAAAAATGACGAAGTATTTTAAAAGCCTCCATCTGTGGAGTATCAGTGGAATATTCTGGTCTACTTTCTCAGGTTTGACTCCAGTATATTGCATAAATGCTAAAAAGACTAATAGGCCATATGCCTAACCATAAATATTCAATAACGTGTGTCCACCAAAGTGTTTTTGGCCAGCTGAAAAAATGCAAGGCGCTCTTCTTAAAACGACCAGCTGGTGGCGTTTGAGAACGCTTTGGTGGCACAGCACAACGTTTTTCCTTCGCTTTGATTGATATAATTTGGAATATCCACGGCAGTAAAGTATTACTAATAGTATCTAATTTTGAAGAATATTACTGAATATAAAAATGCAGTAACCAGCAATATTAACTTCTCTGTTGTTCAGTTGTTGTACAAGTAGGATGATTGGTCGGTGTAGTATTTGTCCCGCCCCTCCTCCATTGATTGGACGGCTGGGTAAAAGTGACAGTGACAAGCGCTGCGTTTTACCCAAAGCTAAACAGTTATCAACTCTCAGCTGCAAAAAAAAAAAAGCAAATGACCCTGCAAAATATTATGATGGCAGTGCATCAAAATTTAGTGTCATCAGTTTGCCAAAAAGAACACGGAACGGTTTACGCACGATTTGCACGTGGTAAGGAGCAGGTGTACATTTCTTTCGTACCAACTAATATTTTGAAAACACAAACATTTTCATGAATCCGAAAATTTACGTCAGAACAGCTTTACGAACGATTTACACAAATTTGTTCTGCTCGTGTTTCATGAATGAGGCCCATTAATCTTAAAATATAGTCTACACTACTTTCCAAGATCATGTGACTGGAGTAATGGCTGCTGAAAATGTAGTCCTTTTTGCATGGATGTGGATGTAGAAACAGTACAGAAGTAACACAACATGTGAAATTTGGTCTTGTGTGACTTGTTTTCTGAATCTCTCTCTTATTTCATCAACAGCCGTACTACCCTAACCGGCCCAACATGCAAGGCAGTGCCCCTCGGGTCCCACCCAGCAGCACCCCCCGGTCTGTTGCACCCACTCATGTCTACCAACCTACCTCACAGGTTATGATGATTCCCCAGCAACAGTTGCAATTCGCCAACACTCAGGGCCATGCCATTTTCCTACACGGACAGGTAGCACATTGTTCTTTTAATAGCTAAGTTGTGCATTTTTTGTGAGGCTGTTCGTGCATCTAATGACTTTTTGTTTTCTATTGTAGTACCGCACCCCCTACATGCAGCCAACGCAGCAGTACTCTGCAGGCTTTTACCCTGGAAGCAGTCCAGCTGAATACGGTACATATGGTAAGAGGCTCTGCTCTGGGCCTCCCCTTTTTGTTTGAATCACCCAACCCTGTTTTTTCTTACTTGTATATCTTGCTCTTTTCACTCAAAAGTGGTCTTACTCCAGTCTGTAAAACACATCGGATACCTGATAAATCTTTAAAGGCACAATATGTAAGATTTTCATCATAAAATATCCAAAACCGACTTGCACAGTGTGATATATTTCATGCAGTTGTGTACTTGCGTTATCCCAAAAGTTCCCAAGGATTTGTAAATCCAAAGAAATTATAATTTTAAATAATGGCTCGTTCCTGGTCATTGTCACCTATCAATGACATATCCACACTACCCTTAGTTTCCGCTTATAGAAACTATGGCAACACACGGACACAAATGCTGCTGTACAGTTAAACTAAATCCATTTTGGCTGTTGACGACAGCATTAAATTTAGATCTGCTCAATGTTGCGCCATGATTCTTTTTACGCATTTTTACAGTGTTACGCATTATAACTAATCACACACGAGTCTGTTGAGCTCATGAATGCAATGGCCAATCAGAGGCGTTCAGATGAGTTTTTTTTTGTTCGGTGCACGTGCTTGCTGACTGAATTCAGCTCTCACGCAAATTCTCTCATCATAAACAACAAAGTGCAGATGTACGTATGATGTAAATAAGAGATTCATTCATCAAACTGTGCATAGACAGCTTTACTGATTATAAGGGGAGTTTTTTGAGAGTGCTTAAACTCGCGCTAGACTGAAGTTAGTCAATGTTCTTTTGACAATGTAAATGTTCTTTGCTTGCTTTCTCTGTATAATTTATTCGCTGTTTCTATAACTGTGGAAGGAACAGGTAATAAAAAAATTTATTCATAACCTCATCCGTGAACATCTTCCTTCATAGCATCATTAAAGGGTTAGTTCAACCAAAAATGAAAATTCTGTCATTAATTACTCACCCACATGTCGTTCCAAACCCGTAGGACTTCCGTTCATCTTCGGAACACAAATTAAGATATTTTTGATGCATTCTGAGAGCTCTCTGACCCTCCCATAGACAGCAAGGGTCCTTGCACGATCAACGTCCAGAAACGTAGCAAGGAGATCGGTAAAATAATCCATGTGACATCAGGGGTTCAACCGTAATTTTACGAAGCTACGAGAATACTTTTTGGAGTATCCACTGAACGCAAACAGCGTATGCTGTTCTGTGTGGGCTGCGCCACGTGGATACGTTTTCTACATTGTTTGTGCTTTGATTTAAATGAAAACAATGTATCCGTGTGGTGCGGCTGACACGGAACAACATACGCTGTTTGCGTTCAGTGGATACTCTCCAAAATGGCGCTAGGGTGACGCGGAGGAGACTAATTGTTGAATAAAGTCGGGTTTTTTTTTTTTCCGCACGAAGTATTCTTGTAGCTTCGTAATATTACGGTTGAACCCCTGATGTCACATGGATTATTTTACCGATCTCCTTGCTATGTTTCTGGACGTTGATCGTGTAAGGATCCTTGCTGTCTATGGGAGGGTCAGAGAGCTCTCAGATTCCATCAAAAATATCTTAATTTGTGTTCCGAAGATGAACGGAGGTCTTACGGATTTGGAACGACATGAGGGTAAGTAATTAATGACAGAATTTTAATTTTTGGGTGAACTAACCCTTTAAGCTTCGGCTTTGTTTTGAAAATGTGACCTCTAGCGGTTAAAACTTACATATTGTGCCTTTAACCTGTTAACCTGCACCCCCCGTTTTGGGACTCACAGCTGAAAATGACCTACCTAACTTAAAATTGTAACAGTTCCTGACAAAAGTGTGCTACACACAATTTTGGTGTCTTTGGAAAGACCCTTTGGGCTTTACTATCCATCATCCAGAGTTGATAATGCTCAAAAAGATAAAGTTATAGACACTGAAGTGCCTTGAAAAAAATTGTACCACACTGAATTTTTTTTTTTTCACATACAAATACTTGAAATCAGTCCTGGAGCAATCCAGAAAAGTAATGGGTTGAAAGTCACATGTCTCATGAGTTTATATTTCAAATCTGTAGATACCACGAAAAATGAGATTTCTGCAACCATATTTTAGTCATCATGCATACCACTGCATAGTTTTTTTAATTATAAAACAATAGACAGAATCTTAGACATTGTCTAAGTGATTTATTTGAGCACTAGAAAAATACAATAAGAATAATTT